AGGTAACAACCACCAGAGGCATGATACTAAACATTTCCATCAAGCCCAAAAGCTGCTTAATTCCTCTTTACAAGAAATTCCTTTGGCCTATTTCTTGGCACCTAGCATACTAATCTATCACTATAGTTTTGCTTTCTCTAAAGTTTTGTATAAATGGAATCATAAGGTATATATCTTATTTCTGGTAACTTCAATGAACATAATTGCTTTTAGAAAAAAACTGTCCCAACTGTTGTTTCTACTAGGAATTCGTTCCTTCTTATTGCTAAGTAGTTATTATATTGTATGGCTATAACACCGCTTATTTATCAATTCACCAAGTAATACACATTTCTTTGCAAATTTTGGTTATTATAAATAAAGCTGTGTTGAACATTCAAGTACAACTCTTTGAATGGATATACATTTTAAGGGGTCACATAGTAAACATATATATTAACCTAGTGTGAAAACTTTATAGTGCATACTGATGCCTACTAGTTTTGCTTTTTTTTCTTTTTTTTGAGACAGAGCCTCAAGCTGTCCCCCTGGGTAGAGTGCCGTGGCATCACAGCTCACAGCAACCTCCAACTCCTGCCTCAGCCTCCCAAGTATCTGGGACCACAGGCACCCGCCACAACACCTGGCTATTTTCTGGTTGCAACCATCATTATTGTTTGGCGGGCCGGGCTAGATTTGAACCCGCCACCTTAGGTGTATGTGGCTGGTGCCTTAGCCACTTGAGCCACAGGTGCAGAGCCTGCCTACTAGTTTTTTTTTTTTTTTTTTTATTGAATGGTAACTATGTACATTAATGCACTTCTACTAGTTTTGAATAACACATTTACTTCAATCTCTCAGTATAAAAGGAAAAAGTCCCTACCTATAGCAATTCAAATTATTGATGCTGACAGGGTAAGAGTCTCTTAATCAAGCATTTCATAACGCAGATGTATTTTACTTAAGGATATGGGGACTATTGCTTACAGTGTGGTGAGGGAACTAAATTATACTATTCCTAAATTATTTCAATTATCTGTTGTGAAAAGTAAAGCCGAATATTTTAGACCCTTGCTACTCCAAGTCTGGTGTCTGGATCAACAGTATCGGCATTGCTTGGGAAGTCAGAAGAAATGCAGAATCTCATCCCCACTCTTTGATCCGCTGAGTCAGGACCTGCACATTAGCAAGACCTCCCAGGTGACCTGTATGTTTGAGAACTGCTGCTGGACAAGGTTAGAGAAAAGAAGAAGTGCATCCAACTGACAGGATCAGGGCTTCACAGAAAACGTAGCTCTTCAGGTAATTGGAAACTCACTCTAAGTTCAGGGCTCCATCTTTTAGAAGTCTTTGGAGTTTGACCTTTTGAATTTTTCAATCAACAGAATTTTCTCTGAAAAATCTAGTCAGAAACACTTTGAAAATAAGAACAATTTCCTTTACCATCCTAGAGAACATTTGTGGTTCTCTGTAAATTCCCTGGACCTGTCCTTCCTGTATTATTTTCATTCATATTCTTCCATCTATTTTCGGCATCACTATGATATTACTGCTATTTGTGAGAGAAAATATGCAGGACTACTCTGCTCACATTACACCTATATGGCCCATACTTCATTCTGCATCTCTTTCAGATTCACCTACAAGTGCCAAGCAAATCACCAGTCAACTGTTTACAGTATTTCCAATTATAGCAATTCACAACATGGGCCCAAGAACTGCAGCCCTGAGAGCTGGAAAGACCACAAGAGTTGAGGACATTCAGACAGAGGAAGGTCTTAGGTGCCATATTACAGAGGAGGCAGCCTGGATTTAGAAAAGTTAAAACATTTGTCAAAAGTGATCTTGCCAATAAACAGAGTTTGTGGCACAGGAGAACATTTTTCCCTTGGTTCCCCTCCAGCAAAACTGCTATCTCATTGTGGGTGCAGAGTTATATTTACTTACTCAATGAGTAAGCAAACGAGTCAATAAGGAAATGAATTAATTAACATCTCCCCTCCACGCCCCGAGGGCGCGCGCGCATACACACACACACACACACACACACACACACACACACACACGTCTTTGTTCTGTTCTAATGCTTTCTGATATGTATGGTTTTCAATTCCTGAACCACCTCCCCTTGGAGGGCATTGAACTGGTCTGGGCCTCACACTGCTAACTTCTCTGCCTGTGCTTCTGGACTTCCCCTTCGTGCTCTGCCCACCTAAATATGGGTGTTCTTAAGCTGTTTATCTTAATCCTGTTTCCTAAATCCCTGTTCTCATTACTTTTCCACCTTAACTATTGGCAATGATCTATAATCTTTCTTTCTTAAACCAGCCCACGTGCTTTACACGGTATAAAATCTTCAAAGTGTAGCTTTCATCTTGTCACTGAGCGTAGCCTTTAAGACTTCTATAGTTTGGTTCTCCCAACCTTACTTTCCATCATCTTCTTCATGCAATATCGTCTTTGTAGGTAACAGCACAATTAGGTATTAAGATTGCTTCCTTTGCAACCAGACCCCCTTGAGTTTGAGCTTCAGCTCTTCCTCTAATTATATTACCAGGTGAATTTGCTTAACCTCTTTATACTTCAGATTCCTCAGCTATAAAATGGGAAATATTATAATACTACTACCTAATGGAGCTACTATTATCTAAAGCACTTAGATAAGTATCTGACATACAGTTAGGTAATCTTGTTTTAGTTCTTCCTTTAAAACTAATAAAGCAGCTGGGCTCGGTGGCTCACACCTGGAATCCTAGCACTCTAGAAGCTCAAGACCAGCCAGAGCAAGAGTGAGACCCTGTCTCTACTAAAAATAGAAAAACTAGCTGGGCATAGTGGTACAACCTCGGAGGCTGAGGTAAGAGGATGGCTTGAGTCCAAGTTGAGGTTGCCATGAGCTGTGGTGCCACAACACTCTTCCCAGGGCGACCAAGAGAGACTGTGTCCAAAAAAAAAAAAAAAAAAAAAATCAATCTCTGCTTGACTTATTAAATACTACATTTTATAAAAATAAAAATTAAAAAACAATAAAATTAACATAGCATTATCTGGCCATATACCAAGCTAAAAAAATAGCTTCATAATATCCTGGTAGAGATCCAAGATAAAGAACTCATGACATCGTGTGCTAATCATAGCCTCAAAAAATTAAGTTTATATTACTGTGCTAGCTATTTTTGCTGCACATTCATTTTAACATTTTAAAGTATCTGTAACAGGAAGCCTTACTCATCTGCTTCTGAATATAAAATGAAAGGCTTTCAATATAGTAGTAATTCCCTGGCAGAACTCATCTTGGAATTAGACACTATTCTGGTTATATAAACCACACCTTTTTATGCTTCTCATGATAAAATTGCTCTTAGTATAAATAAACAACAAACAGAAAATCCACATTTGTAATCTTCCATCTTCTTGATGCCAGAAAGTGTAAAGATTGACAGGAAAGGTAGCTCTACAAGTCATCAGATGTATGTCTTAAAGGAAAAAACATTAAGAACTCTATAAAAAATCAGAGCTGACAAATAGGTGTCACCTTACACTATCATATGAACCAATTATAATATTGAGAAGGATTCAGATATTGTGCCCTAGGCTTGACAGCAAACAAAGTAGTGACTCAACAGTGTCTAAAATGGTAAAGTTGAAAAACTGGAATTTGTGTTAGCCCTAAGCAAGAAAATGAAGGCAGAAGAATAAACATGTGTAACAGATTGGCAATAATGTGGGTTAAAATTTACTAAGCATGTCTGTGATAGCACTGGTCTAAATAGTCTAGACATACAATTCTATTAATCCTCAAAACTACCCCTTAATAAAGGTGTTATTGTCATCCCTATGTAGAAACAAAGATACTAAAGTGCACAGAAGTTATAACTTGTAAGTGGCAGAGCTGGGCCTCAAACCCAGGCACACACCAGAATCCATGTTCATCAGTATATAACACTCAAAATGCTTCTATCTTCTTGATGCCAGAAAGTGTAAAGATTGACAGGAAAGGTAGCTCTACAAATCACCAAGGTAATTATAGCCCAGATTACATTAAATTAAGATGGTGCTGGCAGTAAGAAACATAAGGATCTAACCTAGGTTCATGCTACTTCAGAGTTCTGTCAGTGCAGTCATTCAGGACCATGCTGAGCAAGGGCACAGTCCTGAATCACATTTGTATGAACAAGCAAGAGTTCATAAAATTCCCTACGACTAAATCACAAAACCATTGTGAATGTACTTATTTGCCAGTACCACTAAAGCATAATATTCTCAGTCAGTAACTGTCTTTCACAAAAAGATCCCCAAACAAGACTGTAATGTAAAAAATTTGCTAATGGAATAATTATTCTCTGATGAACTGTAATGAATCAGAAAGACCACATAACTTTGTGGATAAAACATGTAGCTAATTCTGGGTGGACAGATGAGCTCCAGAGATTTCTCAAAACAAAGTTTTACATTGATGTCAGAAATTTCTGCATGGGGTTCCATGAATAGTAAGTAGAATAAGCAGAAAAAATGACAAGGTACTTTAATGAAATTATTATTAATTGTTGCATTTAAAGACAGAGAAGGAATTAGAATTAACTTTAATGAGAAAACAAGGTCGAAAGAGGGTGAGCCCTTTACCCAAGATTACACAACTTGTTCTTACGGTAGCAGAACTTCTACAGTATTTGTGATGAATGCAATTTTCTGCTTTTAAGTCAAGATTTTTCTTACTTTCCTTTTATATTTTGACTTAGTATGGTCCTAATAAAGGCCCATTTAGATTGAGAATAAAAATAATATTTAAAACTTCCATAGTCAACTTTGGGATATGCTGAAGAGTCACTGGTTATATTAACAGCCTCACAGATGCTCTGGCCACCTGAAAAACTAGTAAGAGAGAAAACAACAAGAAGCTGTATTCACAGAAGGAGAGGGAATTGTAACATCACCTACTGGAGATCAAACATTGTATAAGAACATTTCAAGTGTTCAAGCTTACATTTAAGGAATATGGGACAATGTTTTCCTTGGCTTACCTGCACTTTTAGGAATCTGTTTCCCAAAGGCCCTCTGTTCCTGAAGGTGGAGAGCGTGGTGAGCAGGGAGTAGGAAGCCAAAGGCTCAGGAAGCTGTCTGCTAAATTTGTGGGGCTTCTCTGCCAGAAATTATCCAAGTCCAAGGGTTGTACAGCTTCTTCACTGGCAAGTACTGAAATAAAATATAAAGATAGCGTACTTCTGAGAATGGCTCAGCTACCCAAGAAAAATTTAAAGCCATTTAAAAAATAGTATTTAATGAAAATGCTATTTTAGTATTCTGATCTCCTAAAACCTCACTTTTTAAAAAAATGCTTTACTGGATGATGGAATTAACAAACACAAAAACAAAGCAAGACAAAAACTCCAACAGCAAACCCAGTCGCCCATATTATATTACTGTCATTCATGACTGGTTTTGCAAAGAACATAATAACATATCCAGCTCAATTAATCGAAGCAAACTGGTAAAAAAAAAAAAAAAAAAAGAATGATCTGTCTTATTTTTCAGCTTATCTCCACAACACACACGGCTTTATGGTGTGTGAGAGGTGAGAGCAGGACCTACCGCTCTGAAAACCATCAAAAGAAGGGAGTAGAGGGAGAAAGAAGAATGCAGAGGAGGTTGACAAGAATAAAAATATCTATAAGAAAGTGAGGAAAAAGGAAGCGTGGGTGAATTATTGAGAAGAGCAACTAAGTTAAGAATATGCTGTGGACTACTTCCGCAAAAAAGATTGAAAAAAACTCTCAAACTGCGCCTGCTACAGCTTTTCTTACACAAGACTACCCCTGACACATGCACACACACCCCCAAACACTGCATGAGCTTGAAGAGGCTCAAATATGCTATTCTGGTATTTTGACTACTTAAATTAAAGACACTTGAAAAACAGCAGGTGCAAGAAGATTACTTTGACTATTGTGCTTTTTTTTCTTTTTTGAAAACAATTCTTTTTATTTTTGCATATTCCAATGGCAAGAATAAATATAACTTTTCGATTCACAGTTTTTGATTTCAAAAATAGAATTCTATACTTAGATATTTCTTTTTATTCACCTGTAGTGTTTCCATTTTGTGTATCGTCCTTCGAAAATAACTTCAGACATTTTTAAGAAATGCTTATTTTACAATAATTATGCATATTTTTAATTGCATAAGCCCTGGCTGAAATATTTAAATTTTTTCTTATAATAACTTCCAATTCTTGAGTTCTAATTATTAATTAATCTCTCAGTTTGCCATAGAATCTTTTTATAAACTTCAGATTAACATATGGGTGTAAATGACTAGGTTGCATTGTTTACATTTGCTAAGTAAAGTCCAAGTTGTATTTGAGCCCTTCACTCAGGAAGTGTCATATACCCACACATTGTACACGTGTTATTCTGTTTCTTAAAAGCAAAAATGAAATTCCCATATGAAAGATAATCTCCTTATCCTAGAAAAAAGGCAATATCATTAGCTTCAAGGACAAGAATTTGAGACAGACCTTGTTAGGATAACTTTTAAGGGTCCCCATATAATTTAGTCACATTATCATAGTTCACTCTTCTTTGTTCAACCCACAAGGTGGACATAAAGTTCATGTACAATTTAAAATAGTAGTAAATTGCACACAAACTTGTACCTTGTACAAGTGCAGACATACCTAAGAGATAGCCTGGGTTCAGTTCCAGACCACAACAAATCAAATATCATAATAAAGCAAGCATGCAAACTTTTTAGTTTTCCAGTGCAAGTAAAAGTTATGCTGTTAAGTGTGCAATGGCTTTGTCTAAATAACAGACATACCTTAGTTAAATAAAACTATGTTGCTAAAAAATGCTAACAATCTTTGAGCTTTCAGCAAGTTGCAAACTTTTTGCCTCAATATTGATGACCACTTATTCATTAGGTTCCTAAAGATTGCAGTGGCCAGGGCAATTTCTTAAAATAAGACAATAATGAAGTCTGCCACATCAATTGATTCTCCCTTTCATGAAAGATTTCTCTGCAGCATGTGATGCTATTTGATAGCAGTTTACCCACAGTAGACCTTTTCACAAAATTAGAGCCAAACCTTTTAAATCCTGCTGTTGCTTTACCAACTACGTTTATGTAATATTATAAATCCCTCATTGTGGCCAGGTATTGTGGCTCACGCCGGTAATCCTAGCAGTCTCAGGGGTGAGGAGGGTGGAATTGCTTGATCTCAGGAGTTCAAGACCAGCCTGAGCAAGAGGGAGACCCTGTCTCTGCTAAAAAGAATAGAAAAAGTAGCTGGGCGTTGTGGCTGTGTCTGTAGTTCCAGCTCCTCAGGAGCCTGAGGCAAGAGGATTGATTGTTCAAGCCCAAGAGTTTGAGGTTACTATGAGCTATGATGCCATGGCACTCTACCTAGAGTGAACGAGTGAGACTCAAAAAAAGAAAATAAATAAAATAAAAAATGAAAATAAATCCTTTGCTGTCATTTCCACAATGTTCACAGCATCTTCACCAAGAGTAGATTCCATTCCAAGAAACCACTCTCTTTGCTCATCCAGAAGAGGCAAATCCTCATTCATTAAAGCTTTATCATGAGATGGTAACAATTCAGTCCCATCTTTGGGCTCCACTTCTAACTCTAGTTCTCTTGCTGTTTCTACCACACCCATAGTTCCTTCTTCCACTGAAGTCTTGAACACTTCAGTGTCATCCATGAAGTCTGGAATCAACTTCTCCCAAACTCCTCTTTCTAACATGGATATTTTAACCTCCTTCTACAAATCACAAATGTTCTTAATGGCATGTAGAATGGCAAAACAAATCTTTTCCAGGTTTTCAGTTTACTGTGCCCAGATCCATCAGAAGAATCATTAACTATGGCAGCTATAGCCATATGAAATGTATTTCTTAAATAAGACGACTTGAAAGTTGAAATTAGACTTTGATTCATGGGCTGCAGAATGAATATTATGTTAGCAGGCTTGAAAACATCACCATAGGAGCTTATGAGGGACTAGGTACTTTGTCAGTGGCCAGCACTATTTTGAGAGTTTTGTTTTTTTTTTTTATTTCCTGTAAGAAGTATGTCTCAACAATGGGCATAAAATATTCAGTAAACCATGTTATAAACATAGGTGTTATCATCCAGGCTGTGTTCTGTTTATAGAGCACAGGCAGAGTAAATTTAGGATGATTCTTAAGGGCTTTTAAGATTTTTGTAATGATAAATGAGCATTGACTTTAACTTAAAGTCAGCAAGTCCCTAAGAAGAGAGTTAATGTGTCTTTAATGCTTTGAAGCTAAGCATTGACTTATCCTCACCATTAAAGTCCTGGATGGACTTTTTCTACAATAGAAGGCTATTTTGTCCACATTGAAATTATGTTGTTTAGCATAACCCCCTTCACCAGTTATCTCAGCTCCATCTTCTTCTTGCTGCAGCTTCTCCATCAGTAAGTAGTGCTGCTTCACTTTGCACCGTTACAGAGATGGCTTCATTTCTCAAACATCAGGAATAAACTTCTGCTAGCTTCCAACTTTTCTTCTATAGCTTCTCTCAGCCTTCATAGAATTGAAGAGAGTTAGGGTCTTGCTCTCTATCAGGTTTTGGTTTAAGAGAGTATCGTGGCTGGTTTGATCTTCCATCCAGAACACTAAAACATTCTCCATATCAGCAATAAGTGCTATTTTACTTTCTAATCATTTGGGATAATTTAAAAGGTCTTCTCCAACCATGATTTGGGGGCCAATGATTGAGACTTTAAGTGGCTATTAGCAGAGGTTTTTGAGTCCACATGTCCAAATTTCCAAAAAATATATTGTATCCTATACCCCCAAGAACACAGCAACAAGTAATTTGAACCCTAAAGAGCTGTTTCATTTCCATAAAAAAAAGAAACAGTGCTATTACTCTGAGCTTAGAAATTAACTGAAATTAAATAACTGTGTAATAGGAGAAATGGCCTGGAAAGGTGTAAAAATGTTTTCTCTCTGTTTAAAACCCCTCCCACTCTTTTTGGGAATTAAAACCTGTATCCCTGCCCCTGGGCATTGGTCAAGAAGGGCAGGGGAGTGTCCTTTGTTCTTTGTGCCACAGGAGATACCCCAAGGAAACTGCCCAGTGGAGAATACAAGATTTCCTTAGCCTAAAATGAGATTAACCAGAGGTCATGTTATTGCCTTGGTCAAAGATAGGATTATTCAAAATTATCCCCTATAAAAACTCTGTATTTCTGCTCAGAAGGAGGACATTGGTACTTTAAGATCAGAGTCTGTCTACCTTCTCATTTGCTGGCTAAGTAATAAATTCCTCTTTCCTTGTCCTCAAATCACTTGTCCTCATTCCTCTGTTGTAGACCCTCAGCAGAAAAGTGCTGAACTTTCAGTAACAGAATTTGGTGTCCCTGAGGGGACCCAACACATTCCAACAGAGTGACCCTGCAACTGCTGGTAGACTTTGGAAGCAGTCCTAGGTGAAGCCATTAGAAGGAGCATCACCTTTTCAGGTAAGAGAGTGAGAGGTCATCCCAGCAGCTGCTGGAGTCTGTTTAGCTCCTGCCTCTCTTAGCTGAATTAGACATGGCTCTGAACAGCTTTAATTTTGTTGAGAAGGAAATGGATATGGAAGTGTTTGGAAAGCCTCAGCCATTTCTATGAGTGAGTTCCCCAGCATGCATGCTGAGGTTTTGAATCTTCTAGCCCTGTGGTAGAGCATTTGTTTGGAGGCGTCATGTGCGGCAGAAGTCGCAAGGTTAAGTGGAATTAGGGAACCTGGTTTGAATTCAGCACTCATTTGTAGTTCCCAGGGAATGGGGGGCCTAGACCATGATTTAGGGAGGGTTTTGAGCCTTGCAGCCTTGTGGCAAAGCATTTGAGGCACTGTTTGAGGTGCCATTTGGGTTGGTGTTTGTCCCCTTTGGATTCCCATTTGATTGATAGCCCATGGCATTTTAGATTGTGTTGGGAATTCTCTATATTGCTTGTGTTTGATTATGTGTGAGTTTTCATACCTACTACATCTATACATTATTATGATAGCAATTGTCTGAAGTATGAAGAACAGTGGTAATTGGTGTTGGACTGAGCTGGTGGTTCTTTTCTCAGGAATTTGTTGTTTGGGTCATAATTTTGATTTGAAGGCACTTTCTAAAGGGTCTTTTCCATTGTCTCTTCCTCCTAAAATTAATGTCAATCAGACTTATGTG